TACGGCTACGGCTACTGCTACGGCTACTGCTACTGCTACTGCTACTGCTACTGCTACTGCTGCTACTGCTGCTGCTGCTGCTACTACTACTACTACTACTACAATAGCAACAACAACACCACCGCAACTTCAACAAGCGCATGAGCACCAGCAGCAGCAACCAGCTTCAGCAAGAATACCAACATCCACAACTCCACAACCGCAATCAGACCGCAACTGAACCCTTTGCCAAAACACCTCCTTTTCGGCTGCATCATCAGAAGTCTCCAAGCCCACCCTAGAGTCCCTAGATCCAAAGCCACTGCCCTCAGCCTCGAGACCCTTCACCCCAAAGGCTCAAGCCTGCGCTCCTCGAAAGCAAGCCCACCCTCGCCTGAAGCAAAAGAATCCGCTTGTGTACCGTGCCTCATGTAAGGCCTCGATGTGCATTACTTCACCTGGTACCCATGTTTGAGGCCTGTGCTGCAGATATGACTACTGTTGATTGCATTGATATTGCTTTGTCAACCGCCACGGTCATTTCCAACACATTGCCCATGACACACATTGTGACATGCTCCAGATCATGTTGTTGATGATGTGGTTGCGGTTATGGTTGTGGCTGTCGTTGTCGTTTTGATTGGCTCATGATTGCCGAGCGAAAACCCTATTGCCTGAATACCCCCAAGCCCCTATAGAACCTTAAACCCCTATGGAGCGGGTTGGGTTTAGGGCTTGCGACGTTTGGGGTTTGGCATTCTGCTTATCCTGGGGTTTGGGACTTTAAGGTCCTGGTTTTGGGTCCTGCACCGTCTAAATCTGCAGGGTTTGAGGTATTACTTACCAAAGTATCTTTGGGCAAGCAGTGCTCACTGTTTTTTGGCTATACCGCAATGACAAGCATCAGGGTCACCAAAAACATGGGGGGCTGGTGCTGTAGAATGATCTTTTCAGGCTTAAATCTACGCACACGGGCTTTCAGGATCTTGAGCTTTGAATTGCGAGTTTTCCTGAAAAGCATGGTCACCTTGTGTTGCGTCCAGGTGCAGCTCTAGGGCCGTTAGGGCCCACATTTACACACAACCCAGGGAACAGGAGAAAATGAAAACAACAACCAGCACAATAGCTCAGCGGAAGAAGAGCAAAACAACAATCCCCCCCAGAACAACACACGGGGCACCAGGCTTTGTTTCCTCTACGAATGTACAGACAAAGCCCGCAAGGAACAACAGCAGAACAACACCCCTCAGAACAACATACAGGCACCAGTTTTTGTCTCGAGTCATATAGAACAGACAAAACGAGGAAATGGGGAACAACAGGCCCCCCCATCAGAACAACATACGGGCACCAGCTTTTGTCTCCAGTCGTGTAGAAGAGACAAAAGCAAGAAGTTGTTGTGGGGCTCTTGTTTTTGTTAGTTCCTTCTTCTTCTTGTTGTTGTTGTTGTTGCTGTTTTGGCGGCGGCGGTTGTGGTGGTGGTGGCGGCGGTGCTGCTGCTGGTGGTGGTGGTGCTGGTGGTGCTGGTGCTGGTGCTGGTGCTGGTGCTGGTGCTGCTGCTGCTGCTGCTGCTGCTGCTGCTGGTGTTACTGGTGCTCTGCTGGTGCTGATGCTGCTGGTGCTGGTGCTCGTGATGCTGGTGGTGGTTGTGGTTTTAGTTGTCATCGTGGGTTGTTTGTGATGCTGGTGCGGGTGCTGGTGCCGCCGACGCAAATGCACAACCACGCTTGCAACGACGAAATCGGGACACCGACACCCACCAGCATTTCCACTACCAAGGTCACCGTCGAAGCGCCGACACATCCACGTGCCAGCAACTCCAAACTACGTTTGACCCTTGCTTGCCTTCAAGATGCACCGGCAGCAGATCGCCAGAGGCACTGGGCGGAGACGAGGGTGCCGGTGCTCCTCACTGCCTACCGGGTGCCCGGAGGCAATAGCCTAAACAGGACTTCGGGGTTTCATGGAGGCATTCGGGCTTTCCGGTCAATAAAGGTGCTCTGTTCGGGCTTTGCAGACGGTGTGGCATAATGACGGAAGAAAGATCCGAGCTTGTTTCATGAATCCTGTTCCAAAAGCGCTTGGCAATTATCGTGACTGACATTTTGTGTTAAGACATAGGAAGGCTTCGGGTGGAGCATTTTCTAGCTGACTTCGAAGCCGCTTGTACTCGAGGGACGACAGCTTTGTGCACTGTGGTGGCACCGCTGTAGTCCCCAAAAGGTTACAGCCACAGCATGACAGCAGCCTCGACCCCATTGGTTCGCTAGAGGGCTTTCACTACCTATCTATGGTGAAGTTGAAGTCGAGTCTTTCCGTGTCCGAGCCAAGTCGGTCTTCAAGCCTCATTGTTGGAATCCAACACCCTGAAGCCTAAATCTTTCGGAATAAATTAGTGTGACGATTACTCAATGGTTCAACCACACACGGAAGCTGTGCCCTCGAACTGCAAATAGGCAAGACCCATGAACGAACACTGAAAGAGCCCTTGTAATAACCCATTGAAGCCCGATCAACTCCAAACGGCCCCCTCCTTGTGATGATGTCACGTACTACAGAAATCTACGCCCGAAGCGCTGGTTCGAGTTTTCGAAGGGCTCTGTGATGCCGTAGCCACCCTGAGGTCTCGGCGAAACGCCGCAGACAGCTCGGCACCCGGTGGGTTTCGCAGAGGGGTTTGGGTAGGGCTCACGAAGATTCGTGATTTAGTTCCGCTGGTGCCCCGAGGTGCAAACCTTCCTTGAGACGCTTGTGGGCACCGGAGGAGGTGCCGGCTTATGGGTCATCGAGGCGCGCACGCTGTCAGGTTTCGGGCCGAAGCTACAGTACGCTGTTACAGGAAGTAAACATGGTTTGAGGATGTTTTCGCGCGGAGGGGCCATTCGAAATCGTGGGCCCGCACTCCGAAACCCGAGATTGTCCAATGTCAAGGCCTGAAACTGAGAAGCAATCCTACGAGGGGTGACGTTGAAAAAAGTTCATTTTGTGCTACAGAGCCGTTAATGCTCTCAGGAACTATTCTACGTGTCGCAGCCAAACTGTTGCGGGTGATGCTGACAACGAGGCGGCAACAACCACCACGACGACGACAACAACAACCAAGAAAATACTGACCGTGTCAAGACATCTCTATCCATACAGTAGCGGCCGTAGCGATATTCGTCTATAGCTGGCAGCCACAGCTGCAACGTTGGTCGGAGTCACAATAGAAAGACCGCCTGCGCAACGAGCGCAGTTGGCCCAGCCTTGCGCCAGGAGGAGAATCCTCATTGCATCGAAGACGGCGCTTTCAATGCCGGCGCGGATCCAAGTTCTCCAGAGTCTGCTGCAACTGACGAGTCCGCATGTTGGGGGTTGGGTCTTGAATTGGCACGGCAATGGTTTCAAATTTGGACCGGATGTGAACTTGCAGCAGGTTTGCCGTCGCAGTCATAGGTCCTGCTTCTCTGTGCTTCCCGCCGGGGCAGGGCATCTGGGTGGTTGCACCAGTGATTAGTGATTAGTAAGCAGCCCTGCCAAACAAAAAGAAGCCTGTGGGGCTTTAGGGCTCACAAGCGACGACAGATCCGTAAACTCCGGCCGGTCTCCGGCAAGCTTTTAATTCGACTTCCGCAAAGCACGAGGGTGGATGGGCTCAAACAGACTCGTTGGGCGATTTCTTGCCCTTAACCCCTTAGCCTAAGCCCCTTGCATCCCGAAAGCGTGAGTCCTGAAATCCCTCACCCCGTCTTGCCAGGCTACTTCGTCACTCTCGGATCACAGGGGGCGCTCCCTGTGCTTGCCGAGGAGATGCGGTTTTGCGTGGGTTTTGGGGCTTTGGCCTGTGGACTCTTGGGGGTCGGGTAGAGGGGTGTGTTGTGAGTGCGATATACTTACGAATCACGCCGAAGCTGGAACCTAGATCTGTCTGGAATTTACTTGTCAACTGTGCATCAAGAGAGCACAGATAGACAGCAAATGGCTGTGCTTGTCTGCTTTACAGACGTTGCGGCGCTTCCATCGTATCTTGCCCATGTCGCATGGGAATGGAGAGAAGTGTCCACGGCCAAACTTTTCTCTTGCTTTACAGGTATTATAGCGTTTTGTGAGCATGCACATAACAAGTTTGGTGCGCATCACCCGGAGAAGCAGCGACAAAAGCATCCGAGTTCCCGAGAGGCTGGGCCTGCTCACAGGCAGTCACTAGGTGTATCCTATCGCAGCCCAGCCCTGCTAATCGTCCCTTGGTAAACCCATGGACGATTCGAACAAGTTTTGATCGGGGCTGGAAAGGCCTGAACGTTTGAAATCGGGGTTCTGGGTATGATATGTTTCCACCGTGACGACCGTAGCGGCAGGAGATGTACTGGCCTATCTTTCAGGCTTTGCAAAAGATTGGCCACCCGTTCGCCCCTCGGGTAGGCAAGGGGGGGGAAACCGGGAGGGGTGAGCTTTGTGGTTTTGAAGCTTGGACCTCGAGGCTTCTAACCTTCAAAGCGATCCGTTTGCTCGCACTGCCTTGCCTTGCTGGCCTTCCCGTAATCCCTTGTAGATCCGAGAGCTCGCATGTCGACTAGCCGAGCCTTTCAGAATTACGTTCTTTTTCTAGTGCTACACAGTGGCTGCGGGGTGTGTCGTTGTGTTGGGGGTTTCCCCACTGTTTAGGGGCCTGCGGTACTCTTGTGACTCCGTGGTTCTGTTAGAGTTGGATACCTGCCACATCATCAACAGGCAGAAGTGTAAAACAGGTGTGCAAAACGTGTAGCAAAGCGTGCCAGGCTCCGGCTTGGTACTCTCTCGCTCACCTTGTTGTTCACACTTCTTTCGACCCCATCCCGGAAGCACATGGTGTCTTCCGTAGAAACTAGGCTACGCTCCCACTTTGCAGCTCTTGCCGCCCCCGATTCCAGACAGGAACCGTGTAGCCTAGAACAAGATGAACAAACGTTCAAAAATGCAAAATGGCCGCAGCATGCCAGCACTCGCTTGGGTTCTCTTCCGAAAAGTTCCGTGACACTGATTTTTGAATGTTCCTTGCACGTTCACCGTTTGTGCTCTCCCAACGCGTGCCTTTAGACACACATTGCAGCCTTGCTGTGCAGGCCTGGTTAATGCTTACGTTGTATTTTACCCTGTGTTGACATATTAATACATGTTATTCAAGTTGACCGTCTTGACACGCACAACGTAGAGGACACCCGAAGTGAATTTTACAGCCACCTTCTGCGACACTCAAGCCCACCACCGGCCTCACACGATGCTTTGGTCTGCAGTGGTAAGATCGTGTTTTCCTTCTTTGTGGCGACAAGATTTTGCATCATGGCCGTTCAATCTCCAAGAACCCTAAACCCTAGGCCCCTAAATCCCTAAACCCCTAAACCCTAGACCCCTAAACTCCTAAACCCTAAACCCCTAAACCCTGAACCCCTAAGCCCCTTCAGCCTGATTTTAGCTCCACGCCTGAAAGCTGCCTTTTGGGCTTTCGGAGTTTCTGCCACGAGCCGCAGGCTACTTGGATCTGGACGATGAGCCCAGCCAGGCCTCCAGAATAATGGTAATACGGTTGATGGACAAAATCCTGCATGACCCTATATACCTAAACCATGGGATTTAAGAAATCCTGCATGACCCTATATACCTAAACTATGGGATTTAAGAAATCCTGCATGACCCTATATACCTAAACTATGGGATTTAAGAAAC